CTTGAAAAATGGCTTTGTTTCCTTCTCGTTTGGCTCACATGCTGTTTTCCTGATTTCCTCTGGTAGTCTATTTGTGGTCTCTTACAGCTAGCTCATTGAGCTCACGACGATTATTTCAAATTCAATGTCAAGTAGTTCATGGATCTCCGTTTCTTTAAAGTCAGTTACTAGGCTTTATTAGTTCCTTCATGGTGTCGTGTTTCCCTGGTTCTTCTTGGGCTTTGCAGCCTTGTGTTGGTGTCTGCATTTGAAGGAGCAGACTCGCCTCCCAGTCTTTACCAACTGGTTTCGGCGGGTAAGGACCTTCTCCAGCCTGGTCCCTGGCTGACTGAGGCGGCTGCCTCCAGAGGCTGAGCAGGCCGGAGCCAGGGCCCAGGGCTGCTTCCGGGTCCACAGTCAGTGGGCCTGTTACAGTCAGGGGCGCTGACCGGCACGGCTCCTTCCAGGCTCCTTGGCAGATGGGACTGCTGGGAACGTGGACAGGTGGGGCTGGGACCAAGTCCCCAGGGGGAAGGGGCTGCTTCCAGACCTGCGGCGGGAGCACACCACAGTCAGCAGGCCTGCCGGCGGGGCCGGGGCCTGCCCTCTCAGAGCAGCCCCCCTGGGTCTTGCGCTCCGCCGGTGCCCCACAGCCTCCCACGTGGGCCCCAAGGCTCCCACAGAGGCACTTCTGTCCACGGGTGGCTGCCGAGCTGTGTCTGTGGAAGGACGAGGGCCGGGGACCTCCTGTTCCACCACCTGACTGGCATCACTCCCCAGAAACGGCTGTTACACCAGGGCTGCGAGGCTGGGGTCTGCTCCGCGTCACCCTCTCGTCCTGCCAGTATGTTTCTACGTATTTCTTATTTAATTCTCCCGATACCCCAAGAGGTCAGTATTAACCTCTCCCGGGCAGGATGTACCCATCGCAGGTAGTTCTGCCACTAGCCCCTCCCTTATTAGTTTCTTCTGGTGATCCCCAGCCCCCTGGGGGGTGAGGCTGCTGTGTGGGTCATCTCTCCATCACCCTCGGGCCTGGTTCTGGGACAGTCAGAAAGGGTGTGAGCAGAACCAAAGGACCAAAGCTGGGCTCTGGAGGCGGCGACAGATGGCACCCGGGCCCCACACGGCTTTCTCCCGTCTACGAGACCCGCCTTCCTTTTTGTCTGTTTTGTCATAGTTAATATAGCAAAGCGTCACCGCCTTCTTCGTCTGCAGGAAGTGTAACGACTGTTATCTACCACGAACCGCCGAAGCCTTAAATTGCAGCAGGAAAGGTGACAGTGATAGATTAGAATTTTTTAAATCAAACGCAACGTGTCCCCGTCACGGCTAAGAGAAGGGCCGAGGTGACTTGAAAGGAATTTAGGAAATTTTGTGATGCGTGGTGAATTAAGTCGCCCCATCTCAGCACACGTTTATTTTTTCTTCCAGCAAAGTATTAGTCCCCTTAATTGATTCCCAAATACTTCCTGCTATGACTTAAAATCATTAGCGCCGGGAAGAGATAGATGCGGATCTGAATCTCATCGAAAGTCAGGACGGAGAGTTCACTTCGAAATTTTAAAAGGGCCGAGGTGGAAAGAGAGATCTGAAATCAGTCTCGTCTCGAGCCTCGAAAGACGGAACGAAAGAACAAGGGGAAATGGTCCGTGACGATAGCTCATAAGTTTTAAATACGTATTACAAGAATAATTAATTTGGTAAATTGGCTCCGTAGATACAGGTTATAAAATGAGTCACTGTCGCCTCGAAAATGCAAAACTCGGACACAACTCAGGCAGCACCAACTTGCTGTGTGCGGCCACGCGGAGGGTCACAGGCGCCTTACTAAGCACTGTCTCCGGGGCGACAGCTGTCCCTCCACCCTCGACACCGCGCTGCACGTCGCAGACCTCTTGATGAATCTCACTACCTCCGGGGCTATTTTATAAACTCCCAGATGCACCGCGGTCACCTGGACAACAGGTGAGAGCAGCTGCCCCTCCCAGTGCTGGCCAAAGGGCTGGATGCAGAGGCCCAGGCAGAAAGCTGTTGATACCGGGCCGCGGCGTCCTCTCCTCATGCCCGTCAGTGCAGTGGTGAGGTGGCGTGACATCCCGAAGTCACACAAGTACCAAGCGGTGGAGTCGGGCACAGGGTCTGTCTTGCCTGGGATTCCGCTCCCTAGTCAGTCTGGCCTTCCCGTGCTTCGTGAGCAGATGGCAGCCTGGGAGGTGAGCCCGCGCGGACTAGCGCTGCCGACGTGGAACTGGCTGAAGGGGCACCCGGGAGACAGCCTGAGGCCTTCGAAGCCCAGGCCAGTGAGCGCTGCCCTTGGCTTATTCCCCGGCCCCACAAGGCTGGTCCCCGTCTTCCACCTGGACCTAGGCTGTCTCTGCCCTTAGCTGGCCCTGGATCTCTCTTCCCCTGGCTCCTGTTCACACTGCTCTTGCCTCTCAACCACAGCTTCCTAGGCTTTCACACCATGGCGTGGAAATTGGCACACTGCCTCGAACCTTCCCCCTTTTGGGGAATTTTACCTTGTCCCCCACACCCTGCCCTGGCTCTGTTTTTCTGACCTCAGGGCCGGAAGAGGGGAGGCAGCGTGGCACAGGGATCCTCATACTGGATTCAAGTCCCAGACACAGCACTCTCTGGCCTCAAGTGTCACCAAGTACAGGTTACTCAACAAGCCTGTTTTCTCAGGTGTAAAAGGGGGAGAAGAGTTGGCAGAGGGCACTTTGGTTATGAGTGCAGACCTTGCTGAGGCTCAAATTCTAGCTCCGGTACTTCCTGTGTGACCTCGAGCAAGTTTCTTAACCTCTCTGTGGTATTATTTTCCATCAATGAAACTCTAATGACAGCACTTAACTTGCTGGGCTGCTGTGAGGAGGAAATGAGAAAATCCATACACCTGATGGAATAAGCGCCATAGAAGGGCCAGCAGTTCAACTTAAGACACAGGTGGATGGGAAGATTAAAGAGCCTAGTGGGGGACCTGGCACATAGTAGGCACACAGGGACAGATCATAAAACAGAAGGCAGCTCATTCAGCCTTTTAGCACCAACCTTCACTTCCGGCACAAAATACAAGGTGGATCAAAATGTACTCGAGTAAAATGGCCCAGGGGGAACGAACCGCTC